AGAACTAATGATATTAAGAGGTGAGTAACTGGCTAATTATGTAGTAGATAATTATGGCTAATTGTGCGGCTCTGCATTTTAAATGTAGTAAGAGCCGGGTGCACATTTAATTTGCATGGTCGCAGCGGGGATAGGTTCTGGACCTGGAGCAAGCCAGGACTGAACAAGCCCAGATCAGTCCTGGCTCATGCCAGGTTGGGACCACTATGACTCTCCATTTTAAATGTACAGTAATAAGAGCTAGCCCAGCTCTTAATACATTTAAAATGCAGAGCCTCAGTGGGGGTAGCTCCCAGACCCAGCGTGAGCCAGAACTGAGCCAGGCTTGCTCAGTCCCAGCTCGCATAGGGTCCAGCAGCCCCTGTCCGTGGGGGTTCCCAGTAGCACGGGGTAGGAGAAGCAGGTAGCACCATGGAGACGGTATTGGGGGGAACCAGCTTTTAAGCCAGCTCCTGCTCCCTGCCCCCCATTGCCTCTGATTCAGAGGCACAAGGAGGGGGATGTGAGTAGTCAAGTAGTCAAGGTTACTCGACTACTCACTTACATCCCAATCCTGAACCTGAGAGTTTCCCAGACCAGGGGAGATCAGTGCTCCTCTGCTGGCTGCCAGACCCACTCTCAAATGACCCATGGGCTGGAACGTCCTGCCCTGCTGGTAGCACTACTGATCCCAGCCCACCTGGGGCTCCCTGGCTGTCGCTGGCCCTACTGCCACCAGAGCTCCCTGAGGCCAGGACTCCCCAGCCTCCACTGGCCCTGCTGTTGCCAGCCTGATTGGGTCTGGGGACCTCTAGTCACTGCTGGTCCCACTGCCACTGACCCAGCCAAGGCCAGGGCTCCCCAAACACCACCAGCCCTACTACCACTAAGCTGGCCAGCTAAAAGGAATTTCCCAGAATATTTGTTTAAGGGGTGGAGCAATGTCCATGCTCCTGATGCCTATTGGTGAACTGCCAGTGGTACTGAGTTCCTGTTGAGGCAGTGTAGCTTTGCACTCGTACTCATAATAAGCAAGACTAAGGTAAGGACTAAGGGGCTGTTTTTCAAAGGTATCTAAAATGCAGAAAAGTGTTTGGTGGGATTTTCAAATGCACCAAGGTTTGTATATTTAGGGACTCGAGAAGCTTTGAAAATCTCACCCTAAAAGATATAGGCTCATTATTTAGGGCCCGATCCAATGGCCACTGAAGACAATGGATGTCTTTCCATTGACATAAATACTAGCAGTTACTATTATTTTTTTATTGTCCCAGTGCCTAAAGGTCAGTGAGGCAACAGTCCCAGTGTGCATGGCGTTATACAAATGTAGAGTCATAGAATCATAGAACTAGAAGGGACCTCAAGAGGACATCAAGTCTAGTCCCCTGCCCTCATGACAGCACCAATCACCATCTAGACCATCCCTGATAGATGTCTATCTAACCCACTCTTAAATATCTCCAGTGATGGAGATTCCACAACCTCTCTAGGCAATTTATTCTAGTGTTTAACCACCCTGACAGGAAGTTTTTCCTAGTGTCCAGCTGAAACCTCCCTTGCTGCAATTGAAGGCCATTGTTTCTTGTCCTGTCATCAGAGGTCAAGGAGAACAATTTTTCTCCCTCCTCCTTGTAATACCTATTTAGATACTTGAAATGTATACAGAATGGCAGTCCCTAGCCCCCCAAAAAAGAATTTTCAGTCTCAATAGGCATAGGGTCAGGCCCTAAATACTTGGTCAATGACAAATTGCTGAAGATGAGAAGAACTGTTTATAAACATGCAAGCAGCTATTGATGTCAGAAGGAGAATCTCATGTAATGCAGCTTTCCACTTACCACAGATCTGATTTCTTCTTACTGCCTCTTTACACAGCTGCCATGCCAGGCATTTTCCATGCTGCTCTGCCCTTTGACAGATATAAAATAACAAATTGTCCATCCTATAGTTCTATCTTAAAATCAGTTAGCGCTGCCTAAAATGTAATTGGATTCTTATCTTTCTCATTGTTCCGTTTGTATAGTTAACATGTGTCTTCAACCACTGTACTTTCTTCATGGTCAAACATGAAAGATTTAATCTATTCAGGGTCTATTTTAATATATTTTAAATTATTCAAATTAGTTTTACAGAGAAATCTTTTTACAGCGATTATGGCAAAAAGTCAAGTTTCATTAAAAAGCCTAGGTTTTATAAGTTATGCAGACAGTCAAGCATGATTGTATTTTTCTAAACTCCAGTGGGCTAAATTAATGCCAAAATGCACAAGTCCTATTTGCTAATGATTCTGTGTTATAGACATATTTTTTTTAATATCTACATTTATTCCCCAAACAATTTAGATATTATGAAAGCTCCAACAGAAAGTCTCAGATCAGCTTGACCTGCTGAGAACATTAATGCTCACTAAATTTAAAATTAAATTTGAAATGCTGTGTGAAAAATGCTTCACGGAACACTTCCAATTTAATTTGACATAATCTTATGTCTCTATTAACTTTGTGTCTTTACAAAACTCTCTGATACAGAACTACGGAAACTTAACATTTACTGTAATGAGAGAGATATCAAGTAGCAGAAAGATATTGCTTCCTGCCTTATTACCTTCACCTTCAACCTTTTTCCCTTATTTCTGATGCTTAAATTACATAAGTAGGTACAGGGCTAAATCTACATCTGGTTTAAATAGCTGTAGTTCCACTGAAGTATATATAGTACTATGCCTATTTAGACCAGTTGAGACTTTTGCCAATAAACTAGATCTCTCTATTTTATTCCCTATTACTGATAAATCCAGTTTATCCTGGAATAAATTAAATTTCACTTCCTGTGTATCGATACCACAGCTACTCGTGACCAAAAAATGGACACATGTAGTTTTCTTGTGAATTGAACTACACGTTGAACCTCTGGAATCTGGCACTCTGTGGTCCAGCAACATCCATGCTCTGGCAGGAACATGGATATTTCTGAACCAAACAGTCCGGTTGGCAGCAGGGGCTAGTCAGGGTCAGGACTGAAGCCCCATCTGGTGGCAGAAAGTCCACCAGTGGGGAGTGTCTGCCAGGCTATAGTCCAGGAGCACAGCCCAGGCTGGAATGACAGACAGCACAGACCTGGCCAGAGCTAGGAGCGGAGCCCAGTGGCTGGGGCTGGTGCTCTTGAGCATAGCTGATGGCTCTTGAGCATAGCTGATCATCCCTATTCTGGCAGACTCTCTGGTTCTGGACCACTCAGGTCCCAAGGGTACTGGACCAGGGAACTCCAACCTGTGAAAGTAAAATTTTCAAAACTGAATCTGGGATTTTCAAAATCACCTAAGTGCAATGGGAGTTAAACACTTGGGCTCTTTTGAAATCCCACTGGGACTTATCTGCATGCCTAGGAGCCTAAATATTTTTGAATATCTGGCCCAAAGCCTCCTCCCATTTGTATTCTAGGAAGTTCACCATATTTCTAGCTTTCTAACATAGCAAATAAGTTTCTGTTGTGGGGCTGAAAACCCAACACAGAGATCAACCCACAGGCTATGCAAATAATGACACAGGGGGCAAAGATGAATCAGTGCCACAGTGTGGCTGAAGCTCTGTTCCACTATTTTCTGGGTTGGAGTGCATCAAACAGTTCCTCTCCTTCATTCCCCACACACAACACACCCTAACCATTTAAGTTCTTTCTTCCCTCCCCCAGAGCTACATCTCTCTTTCCTTGTTTCTCTATTTCTCAGCTTTATTGGGGGAAAAAGCCACTTCCCATACTGGCATCTCCACCTGGATGGTTGCTGTCTCAGTGCCATAAAACAATGATTTTCAAACTTTTTCTCTCATGACCCAGTTGAAGAAAATCATTGATGCCTGCAACCCAACGTAATTTGGCTATAGTGTGGGCTTCGGAGTGGTGCTGCAGCAGGGGGCTCCAGCTTTGGGGGTGTCAGGGCTGTGGCAGGTGGGGCTTATCTTGAGTGGCTCTCGGTCAGAAATGCAGCAGGAGTGCTAAAGTAGACTTCCTGCCTCTTCTGGCACCGTACCATGCTGCACCCCAGAAGTAGCCAGCAGCAGGTTCCCAGCCAATAGGAGTGCGAAGCTAGTGCTCAGGTCAGGAGCAGTGCATGGAGCCTTGTTCACTCTTCCCCCTCCACCTACCTTGTTTCTGGCCGCTTCTGGGGTTCAGTGAAGTCTTTAATGCTAGGACAGGCAAGTATCCTGCCTTAGCGCACCCACTGGTCACCTGACTACCCCGCAGCACTGAGACCCAGTGCCTGACATTCCAAGACCCAGTACAGGGTCTCAACCCATGTTAGAAATCCACTGCCCTAGAGGCTCCTGCACTGCACAGAGTTATTAGAAAGCAGGAGAGCCTCAATCTGCGGAGTTTAAGATCTCTGTGATGTGTCACTGACCATGGAAATTGTAGAAGCAGAATAAGGAAGCAGGCAGGTTGGGTTCCTTTTTCAGGAAGTATCAAGGTGAGGGAAAAACACTTGTATCACTTTTATCACATTCTAAAGCTTGGGTATGACATTCAAAGAATGTAAAAGAGAAGGGGATGGTACAAAAATGGTGAGACAGAGAAGAGGAAAATCAATCAAGTGTTGATGGGAAATATTATAATTTTTAAAGGCCAGAGAGGAAGTAAAGGATAAAGAAGGCTAGCAAGCTAATAAGAACAAGTAGAGATTTGACCGAGGAAAAGGTGGGGGAGGAAGAATCCCTGAAAGAATAGCAGTGATTACAACAGAACAGAAATACTAATTAAAGTGAAAAGCAAAATTGGGAAAAGGAGAAAAAATAAGAACAAACAGTATTTTATAATTGATAGAATATGGAACAAAGAGCATAATTCTTGCCCTAAAGGGTTTGCAAAGAGTCTGAAGATATGAACAAGTATAAGATAGGGAAAAAGCATTGAGTGGTGAATGATCATTGTAGTTATGCTATTTCATGGAACAAATGCACTTGGGGAATTTTTTGAAGGAGGAAAGCTAGAATCTAGAAATACTGGCATGTTCTAAGTACCATACCATGGGGAGTGGCAAAAAGGAGGTTGCAGGAGAGAGTCTTGGGAGGACAACAGGTGTTGAGGAAAAGGTAAGAGCAGAGATGTCAACAGTACAATTTCATAAAAGTGAGAATGTGAACCTTGAAATGTACATGGAAGAAAATGAGGCAGCAGTGCAGATATTTTGGGAAAGACTTACAGTTACAAGAGTTCCCTTCAAAGTGTTCCACTCAGGGTGAAGATGGGTCTTGTATTCACTGTGGAAAAGTCAGGGAGAGTAAAGGTCCTTAAATCAATGGTACAGCCCCCTAATGCCAAGTAACCTATTGCCAATTGCCTTCAATACTCCTCTTGTTCCGTGTGGCTTCTAGTAACATGGTTCCTGCAGAGGCTGTGCTGCCAGGAAATCCCCCCATACCACAGCTAGTTCCAGAACATTGCTCCCAAACCATGAGTCCTATAAACCAGCAGGGCTGGCCTTACCATGAGGTGAACTGAGGTGGCCACCTCAGGTGCCAGACTGTGTGGGGGGAGGGAGGGGAGAGAGGGCGCCACTAGGACCCAGAGTGTAGAAAATTGTGTCTGCTGCTGGTGCATATGTATTCTCTCTGCTTTAGATGCACAGAGATGGAAACACAGTACCATGAGAGGAGTAGAACAGGAAGAAGGCAGAATTGAAACCTTTCAAAGTTTTAGCCCAAGCGAGGGGACATGGGGGCATGGTGGCGTCATTTGAGCTTCCCGCCTCAGGTACCAAAATGTTGTGGGCCGGCCCTGTAAACCAGAGAATAAACCCATACAAGTAACAGTAGGTTTAGGCACAGGTAGATGATAGCATCAAACACTCTTAGAAATGATAGGCTTTCAGAAGTCATCAAGTCCAGTCACCTGTGCTGAGGTCATTAAAAAGGGTGTCTGTACAATCTCTTCTTTCTGTAGATGACACACTGGACAGTACGTTTTGAGCAGAGAAAACCAGGCAATGTATGAGTGAATCAGTTCATTTTCTCTCTGGTCATGCTGCTCTCCCATTCATTTTTATTCTTTAATATCCTAAAGTGGAAAGGTGAAAGCAATCTCACTTTTCTCAGATTACCTTTATGTCAATGCAAAGCATGTCTTTCCTTACAGAACCATGGAAAACATTAATTGCCTCACCTACTCTATGGTTATTCCAGTGCAGAATTGTTTCTCCTTATGTATTGTCCAATGTTTCTGAATTGTAAAGGAAGAGAGTACAGGCTATTTCCTATCACTCAGGATTGAAGAACATTTTACTGCTTGACTAATCCCATCAGAATAAATGGAGCTATTCAGAGTGGTCCAGGTTGTGACACACTAACTCTCATTGTGAAAAACTCTCTTTATGTGATGGACCATAGATCTTAATAGGAATATCTACCTAGTAATGTACTGCCGGAGATGAGAAAGGTTATCACAATGGATTAGAATGATATGCTATTCAGCATGAGGAACGATGGCAGAAGCTAACCCCAAATGAGCAGATGCCAAGAATCTCATTGAACTCCCACATTGTGATCTTCTCTCTGGCATGTTCAGCTGCTAAGGAAAGATTTCATGCATAACGCACATTTGGAGCTATATATGTTCCGACCAGATTTTCCTCCGGACGCCTCTTTCCAGATAACAGTTTGAAACCTCCTGGGAAAAATAGACATCTCCACAATTTTGTCAGATAGCCCTTCCTAAGAATTGGAGCTGTCATGTTCCATTGTACACATCTATCACTTGAGAGTTTGGTAATACTCTCCCTTACAGCAGTTTCTTTTGGATTATAATTTCTCTGCATGCTACGAGAGAATATTTTCTTTTAAGACAGATTCAACTTATTTTTTATTTATTTTTATGTTTGATTGTTCCTGACAAGCTGTTCAGAGAACAGCCCCATTTCTACACATTTTTTGCACTGACACGTTCAGATGGGGTCTTGACACTGATTGCCAGAATGAGACAATTCTTCCCACTGGCACAAAAAGTTGATTTTATTAAAGAAAGCAGCAATGCAAAAATCTGACATCTGTCCTTTAACGTTTCTAATGAATACAAAAAAGGGGCTTCCAGCCCTAAAATTACAGCCTGAAGAGGCACAACAGTGAGCAATTTAATCTTTTCCCTATCTTGTTTTATTGCAAACTGCTGATAGGCATCCAGTTTGCACTAATGTCTGATTGGAAAGCCAAAATCAAGCTGTTAATTCTACAGTGAACAGTCAGAACTTTATGGAGACTATAGTAGCCAGTATCTATTGAACAGGCAAAGAAAATAGAGAGGAAACTGCTGAATATCCACAGTCTTAGCTTGGTAACAGACCCAGAGGACTAACCAATGAACATACAAGCTTGACACCCCATTAATCATGTCTCTTTTTTCATAAATAGGGCCAAGTCAACAATACTCAGAGATTGCCAGTCCCGCACAAATCATGGGCTACTCACATGCTTAAAGTTAGTCATGTGCTTAAGTACCTTGCTGAATTGGGGCCTATCGGAATTTGAAGTGGATGATGTTCCATCACAATAGTCATTTGCAATAAGACCAAGATCTTCTGGGTTTAGAACTTATAAATAACACTTTTCCAAACAATTTCACCATTACCTGCCAGTGAAGGAGATGAGGAAATATGTATTCTGTTTTCCTGGAGGTCTGGACACTTGGGTCAGATATCCAGAAATGCTGAAAACCCACATCTTGAAAACCAGGCTCTCAAAGTTCACAGATTCCCTGGCATGCACTGGTAGACCCTGTAGATTCACTACATGTTTTCATAGTCTTGACTGGACTCTGGTCTATCAGCCCTTGAAGATCAAGAAATAAGAAATAATAGCTCCCAAGGCCAGTCACAGCTGTTGAAATGATCATGACTTCAAATTAACCTTCATGTTTGCAGGCTAAAAGAAGACTGTTTACCAGCATCTAGGACAGACGGGCAATATAAGAGCTAAAAATAAACCAAATTATTGAGCTATATATTTTCAGCATTCTGATTCAGCGGACACATTCCATTGTTTACAACTCTATATAATATCTCACACACTAACTACATTTCAAGGCTGTTAGTTTTGGAATACATGCCGACAAAAGCAAGGGAATTCTAAATTATGGGGAAACATTCCTCATGATATGTCTTCCAGTTACTCAAGCACGAATAATACTTGTAGTGTGGCATCAATCTAGTTACTGTATTGAACATGTTATTTATTTATTTCTCCTTAAAGTGTGAATTTTCTTGGTTTCATCAGTAGCTGTCCTGATCTTAATCTTCAATTACTATCACTGATACAGAAAGTTTTGTTTTTATTACTAAATTTTTGCAATTTCATCTTTGTACTATGTAGTTACTTAGCTGAGTTATTACTACATACATATATTTAGTATACAATTACTATACATTGTCCTAATTGTATAAATAGTATAAGTGTATGTAACTTTACGATCATTTAAAATGTAATTTATATGATGAGCATGTGGGAAAACAGCTGTGTATGGGAGAGAGAACCCCACAGTGATAATAAAACAGTAAAAATCAATGGGCTTGATTGTGTACCACTGTTCACCATCTGTAATCACTCACACCTGGGCAAAATTGCAACAAAATCTCAATGATACAGTCACTTTGCACAGGGATAAATGATTTCCCGGTGGGTACCACTGTATGTTGAAATTTTGGTTGTTAAGTTAGTGTGTGAGTACTTGGTGATGATGGTTGTCTCTGCTATATAGAAGGTCAGTCTGAATGATCTAGTGGTCCTTCTGGCCTTAAACTCTATGGCTATGTGAGGTGCAACTTTGTGAAGAATCAAGCACATTGTTTTTAATGGATTTAAGAAAAAATAGGATTTTTTCTCTTCAATTAATTGGTATGGAATGAGGTCAAAAAGGTATAAAATTTCCTTCTGGTATAAAAATAACACATGATTCAACCTTCATAAGCCTGGTAATCACAGACCCATAGCAATGATGTTTCAAAGTTTCCTCTGAAGAGCTAGAAGGACACCTTCCTTCTAGCTCATCCTCTTTGTGATGGGTGAATTCCAAAAGGGATGGAACTGCTGCAATATTGTATCATAAGATCACACCATATGGTGGAAATGCAGCAATCAGAGAGCCCAGCTGTATTAAAGCTTGGGAATCAAATCTGCATATCCATCCTTAATTTGCCAGTGCCTTTCCCTCACTGCAGTCTTTCCAATCAGGGCCCCCTGCTGGCTTAGTAGGGAGTATTTAGTGTCTTCTGTGAAATTTATGTGTAACCAATCCATCTGTATTTAAAGGGAATTCATTGTAACTGTCCTGAACTGAATAATCTTTGGTATACTTGAGTGCATAGCAAGTAACCTATTCTCTGAGATAGATCTTGATTGAAATTTGTGCTACTGATAATACTGTATCACCTCCCACAGAGAATTACCCATTTCTCTCTCATACTATAGGAAGAAACATAGAATGGGTGTCTTTCTACTCACTTCAATGGGATCTGGATTGAGCATATGGTTTATTGCTAGAGTGAAAATGCTGGAGATATGAGAACTGATCTTCTCACTTCAGAACAAAACACAAGGCTCCAGATCCACAAAAAATACTTAAGCACTTTAGGTGTCCAAGTCCAACATTTAAGTATCACTGAGATCCTCAGAATCCTTAACCTAACCTTGTAGGCACCAAAAATCCCTTGACAGCTAAATTTTAAGTGTCAAAGTCCCCTAGGTTCCTAAGTTTCTGCTGCTAGTTATGCACATGAAACCTCACTCTAGGCATCTCGTAGCCTGCCTAAGATGCAGTGAGATTCTCAAACCAGGCAGAGAGAGGTGTTCCCACACCTATCTCATCTGAAGGGCCCAATCTGGGTTCTGAGCACACTGAAAAAGACCCCTATGAAATTCCACCAGAGAAGGAGGCACTTCCCTGGTAACTTGTAGACCAGTAGTTAGAGCATTCATGTAGGATGCAGCAGACCCAGCTTCAGTTTGCCCCCTCTACCTGACGGGGGAAAGGATATGAACACACCTCTCCCACCTTTGAGGAGAGTGCACTAAGCCCTGGTCTATACTACAGAGTTATGCTTTATGTC